AAAAGACCAGCAGATGACATCCAGTGGACAACTGAGTGGCCGATGACCGCCAGTCAATGGAAGAGATTGTGGAAGAAGGAGCCGGTGATCAATAGAGGGATTCCTTAGTGCCAGCAGATGTGTGTCCAGCTGAAGGAGGCAGTAACAACCAGACCAGTCCGCAGTGCACCTTATTATGACAGGAAAGTTAAAGACTTGGACTTTGCAAATTTGGACTTTGAACATAGACTCAGATCGTGCCTCGAAAGCCCACAACATTGTCGCGGGTGCGCTTTCCAGGAGGCTAGGCAAATGAGGCAGGAACTTACAAAAGAAACTGGAATGGATTACTAGTTAATTATTTTATGTAAAATGAATTTATGTAAAGCTTCCTGACTGTGATTTCTGTAAGGTTGGTAATGTTAAATGTAAAAAAAAAATAAGTGTCACTGATAAGGTAAAGTATATTATTGAACAGTAGTGAAATTTTTAGTTTATAAGGTATAGTAATTGTTATATTAAATGTGGTATTGCCTATAGAAGTATGTTATATGGTAAGTAAAGTTAATGCAATTGTGCCTGTTTGTTTACGAGGAAAAACTCATTTTCCCTCTCAAACAAACATATTCAAGGGGGCAGGTATGTAGCGTTCTCCCTATTATGTTAAATAGTCATGAATTATGTAAAAAGAGGTGGAGTCAGAGAGTCAGTCAGTCAGAGAGTAGAGAGTGGAGAATAAGACAGAAAGGTGTATTTGGGAGATCTGAGGTGTGATTAGAGTGAAGAGTGAATAAGAACTGTATAACAAATAGAAGTTTGAGGTTGGTGATCAATAAACCTGTATAAGTTACGTATGATTAATAATTAAACATCTGTAATCAATAAACAAGTTTTATTTAAAAGACTGTGAAGTTTGGACCTGCATCTTCATCCTTCCGTAAGTACTGCTGATTTAGTGATTAACTGGTGGCAGCAGGTAAAAAGGAGTATTGGTTTGCCTTTGTGTGCTCTGTGTTTGGGGAGTCAGGCAGGGGCCACGATGGGCAAACACCACAACATAAGTTTACTGCTGGACTTTAAAGCGTTCATTGCTGGACTTTTAGCCACAACATTATCAAGTCTTCTATATTTGTGGGAACCTATTATTTTCTCGATAAGGGTCTAAAGAGGCCTGAGGAAAGTGTGGCCTGCTAGATGTTTTGAAATATAACTCCCACAATATCTTGCCATTAGCCATGTTGTGTGTGAATAACAAAAGTTGTAATCTAAAACATATGGAGGTCCAAAGGTTCCCCACTCTGGTGTAGGTAATCTCCCTCTTCAGTGATGAGGTAGTTTAGTACAGTTTGATCCTGCTGGCATGAGCATTTCACAGCTATGGGCAACACACACAGAGAAACATACAGTGTATTTATCAGCACTATGAAGTGCAACTGTGCACAGATTTTTTAAGTCCTTACATTGGCCAGATTAATTTGTGCAGCTTATCAATGCTGTGAGTTTTCAGTTGGCTTTCCCAGCTTTGAAATTTGCATTGAAGAATAAACAAGGTTCTGAATAGAAGGAAATTTTGGGATCAGAATACCAATGGATCAAAACTTATTTTTTAATATACTTGGAAATTTGAGGTGGGTGGCCTGATATAAAACTGAGGAACCTATATTTAGTACATCTTGAAAATGTGAAAGAGCAAAGCATATGCTTCTGGTCACTCTGGAATTTTTTTTACCAATTATCAAAATAAAACTGAGAAAGGTGAGACCATCACTTAAATGCCCTGGATCCATTCCAGTCGGGCTTCAGGCCGCGCCATGGCACAGAAACGGCATTGGTCGCACTGTTGGATGACCTGCTGAGGGAGGCTGATGGGGCAAAATGTCCTTGTTGGTCCTCCTCAATATCTCAGCCGCCTTTGATACCGTTGACCATGGTACGCTCCTGGGGAAGCTCTCCGAGTTGGGAATCAGCAGGCTGGTGCTTGCCTGCCTCCGATTCTTCTTGGAGGACCGCCCTCAGAGAATACAGCTTGGGGAGAGTGTATCGGCCCCGTGGAGTCTCAACTGTGGGGTTCCACAGGGCTCAATTATCTCCCCAGTGCTGTTTAATATCTTTATGAGGCTGCTGGGTGGGGTCATCAGGGGGTGTGGGGCTTTGTGCCATCAGTACGCTGATGACCGTCAGCTCTACATCTCCTTTTCACCTACTTCAGTGGATGCCGTTCTGTCCCTTGGAGTGGAGGCAGGTGAATAGGCTGAGATGTCTGGAGGCTGTACTGCAGTGGATGCAGGTGAATGGGCTGATACTGAACCAGGACAAAATGGAGGTTCTGAGGGTTGGCGGCCCCTCCATTGGTGGTTTGGGAAACTCCCTCTCTTTTGGAGGAGTGATTCTTACCGCGAAGAGTGAGGTTTGCAGCTTGGGGGTCCATCTGGATCTGGCACTCACCATGGGAACTCAGATGGCATCAGTGGTCCACTCCGGCTAGTACCATGTGTGGCGGATTGCCCAGCTGCGTCCCTATCTTGATGGCGGGGCCCTCATCACTCTGGTCCATGTGCTTGTAATCTCAAGATTAGACCACTGCAATGCACTCTACATGGGGCTACCTTTGAGATTGATGCGGAAGCTTCAAATGGTGCAGAATGCGGTGGTCAGACTTCTTAGTGGGACAAGAAAATATCAGCATATTTCTCCCACTCTGGCTGCCTTGCATTGGCTGCCTGTTCGTTTCCGCATTGATTTCAAAGTGTTAATGATGACATATAAAGCCCTAAACGGTTTAGGACCTCGATACCTAGTGAAACACTTTCTCCCACCTAGATCTACTTGAGTCACTCGTTATAGCCAGGAAAGATGGTTGAGAGGCCTAACGCCAAGGGAGGCCCGGAAAGAAAGAACAGGAAACCGGGCCTTCTCGGCAGTGGCCCCTCAACTCTGGAACAGTCTCCTGTCAGAGATTTGCCTGGCTCCCTCGCTGGGTGTTTTTAAGAGCCAACTTAAGACCTGGCAGGCCTTCCCTCCTGTCACTACTTGATCTTTATTTTTCTATCTATTTTTTTCCATTTTGAACAATATCATTACTGTATTGTTGTTTAAACTGCTGGTTTTTAATTGCTTTTATGCTATTTTTATTGTAAGCCACCCAGAGTAGACATGGTCTAAATGGGCGGGGTATAAATTTAATAAATAACTAAATAAAATAAAATAAAATATCTGCATTGATTCAGACTGTCTTACTCTTTAAGTAGAGCATGGATCATTTGGCTATTGGACCTAGCTATTAGGACAGCTGTGATGATGGAAGCCTCTGACTCAAGCATAGGGGCGTGGTTGACTTTCCTCCATGGAGGTGCCTATGGAGGCAAAAGGTGCCATCCCTCTATTTCACTTGGGGAATAGAATATTCAAAGCAGATGGGTTTCGCTATTCTCCCTGGTTTTCGGTCCATGGAGTTGGCACCAAGGACAGCTGCCAACAGTGGTGCCTGTTCTCACCACTGTTAAACCTTTGTAAGTACTGTATTATGTCATGATTCTATTAGCTCACATTGTCTTACAGTAGCTGTTGCTACTTCAAAGAGAAACTGAGCAGTCTCGGAACAGGCAGATAACTGGTTATGGGAGTCTGAAGACATGGTCATAGAATATAAAAGCATAAAAAAACTTTTTGTTAAATTCAGTTCCAGTGCTCTGTAATTGCTCTATGCCTCTGCTACGCCTAAGGAATGTAGGCAAAAATTGCATTTGTTATTATTTTGCTGTGAAAATGTGGTCCATCATCACATTGAGTATCCCATCTAAATACACATTGAGGAGTTCTCACCACTTAAGGTCCATTCAGTGAGAATGAAACATGGTTCAGAGTTTATCTCAGCAATCTGTGGGGGAAAGAATGAACTTCGGGTCCTCTGTATTCTAAGACCAGTGTAAAGCAATGGCAGGAGGGAGACAAGGGCTTGTTCCCTGTGATTTCTTTAGTAAACTCAGTTTTTCCTCTCAAGCCTTTTCTACAGATGCTAAAATGAAACAAAAAAACCTTGATCTTTGTATACAGGATGTTTGTATATAAAACCCCAAACAACTTGGGACCTGGATACTTCAAGGAATGTTTCTCTCTATCTATCCCTTTCTGATCAATAAAATCTGCAGGGGGAGGCTTTTCCATGCCCCACCATGGAGAACGGTCCACTATTCAGTGACATGGGAGAGGGCTTTCTCAGTTGTAGTACCTTGCTTCTGGAATGCTTGCGATCATAAAACATGCTGATTCACCCAGGCTTCTGGGGATTAAGGCAGTAGGCTATGGAAGCTTCCTCACTGCTATTGAATTTTTAATGCAGATATATATTTATAATGTTTTAATGTGTATTCATTTATTTAGAACAATTATATTCCACCCAATATCTTGTTATCTTGGCAGACTGCAGCAATAAAAACAATATAAAAACAATTTAATGTTATAGATTTGAAACATTTTAAAATTAAATAGCTTTTAGACTGATTTTATTGCTATACTCTACCTGAATTTTGCAAGATATATAGAGGAATATAGGTGTTTGAAACAAACAAACAAACCAAACAAACAAATAATAACTAACTCATGAAAATATTTTAACTTGTCATATGGAAATAAGAGACCCTAATCTGCACAGCTTGAACAAGAGAGGATATTATTGATGATAGACTTACTTGGGCAATTTTACACTTTGCAGAAGGTATGCCACTGTCAAATTTAAAAGGCTGAATTAAATGATACACAGTAGGAGTAATTTCAACAGAATATGTTTCACTTTTCTTAAAGGAGCAACTCTTTAAATGATCCAGATCAGATTATTCATTGTGTATTTAATCCCTTATAATACATTTATTTGTGTAGCCCTTATAATGTTAATATCAAAACTGTATGTTTGTTTTTAGGCTTATTTATGTATAATAGTACATTGGCATAAATCATTACCTAAGTTAATGGTATATTTTGAAAAAGACAGGAGAGCTTATTTGTCTCTTATTTGTTGATTGCAGATCTTTTCTGTTATGAACAACACAGAATGTGTGAAGCTGCTGCAGGAAATCAAATGTGCACACTGTTCTCCAAACGCTCAAAATCTGTTCCACACACCTGAGAAAGAAGCACTGGAAAGAGAACTATTTCTTCCTTTCCTTTGCAAGGATTATTGTAAAGAATTCTATTACACTTGCAGAGGTCACATTCCAGGTAAAATTTTGCAAAACAGAAATACATTGAAATTATGTATAACTTTTATTGCTTTTGCATAGTGGAAAGCATCATATATCTATTCTAATGTGTTTTGCCATGAAAATACTATTTATAGGCTTTCAGCTTTAGATTGGAAAAAATATATCTGATATTGATTATATTAACTTAATGCTATGGAGCACTAAGTGAGAAATAGCATATAATGTCCTTTAGATGGAGTTGCTGATTTTCAAGTAACAGTTTCTAGATGACAAACTTTAAATATAAATTCTGGAGACAGAGTTTGGACATGGAAGTATTCCCAGATAAAGCAGAATCCAGAGTTTAACTGACCTCTTATGATTCTGAAATCTAACATTTAAAGAGAATTCCAGATCTTATCCCAGAATTCTATATCATACCTAATAAGATTAAGGCACTACTCAAAACAGAAGTTAATACCAAAGGAAAAATTAATGCTACTTACATCTGGGCAACCCAACTACCATATTCTTTTGGAACTCTGGTCTGAAAATATTGTGATTTTGATTATTTAAATAAGAAAATCCAAATCCTACTGTCGAAATAGCAGCCCCATTATCCAAAGGTATGTATGGAGTACCTTCGTTTGCCCGGAAATATGAGTGTGTGTGGACTTGTGAACATCAAGAATCTCCGTATGGGTCAAATAAACAAACTTTGAAACTACTTCCATTGGATCATACTCCCACTACATCAGATGATGGTAGAAAATAATGAAGGACTAACAGTATTATAACTTACAAGTGAGAACCAACCTACATTAATGAAAGCCCCACAGTTCAGGGATGCATGACTTGAGAGACCATTACATGGATGATAATATTAATAAGCAACAATTGAACCTGTGACTTTAATTAGGCCATCTCCTGGTTGAAATGGAGGAATTCATATGCAGAATCGAAGACAAGATTATTTGCACTATTAGAAAATAATTGTGAAGCAAGGTTATGTGCTATATGCAATATCTGTCACAAATCCAAAGAAACAATTTATCATATTGTAGCTGAACACTTTAAATGGATTACATTTGCAGGCATAACCATGTTGCAAATATCATATTTCAACAACTGACTAAATCTTATAGATTAATCAGCTATTTTCCTCCATATTGCAAATTCCAGCTACCTCCAGTTTAGGAAACAAAATTGCAATAGTATACTGGGACAAGCAAGTTATTATGGATAGAACAGTTGATTTAATAAGTCAGATATTATATTTATGGATAAATAATAAAGAAAAATAGACCTTACAGAAGTTGGAGTTCCATCAACAAGCAATCTCAAGGTATATAAAGTACAAAATACTGCAAAGTGCCAAACAGTAAAGTAAAAACTTAAAGAATATAGAAGCAAGATAAGGTCATCCTCCTCCCCATATACTGTAGATTTCAGCAAATGGAATCTTCTAAAACTTCAGATTACTTATTTAAAATAATTGGCAATAGCTGCAAATTTGCTTCCTGAAATCCAGAAATCAGTGATTTTGCATATTATCTAACCTGCAAACTTGATTCCTCATTTTTATGAATGCCTCCAAGTACTAGCAATGCTGAGAAATAAGAAGTGCAGTGTAGTTAAAGTAGTAGTAGAAGTACAGTGGGGTCTCTACTTAAGAACGTCCCTACTTAAGAACAATCCAACTTAAGAACAGCTCCATTTGCTAAATTTTTCTTCTACTTGAGAACAGAAATCCAAGATAAGAACAGGAAAAAAAACCTTTCCTGCTCTTTTTTTAACCTTAGGTCATCTTAGGTTAAAAAAAATTCTCCCCCTAGTGGTAGAGTACGTATTAACCAGCTTTGCATTAGTTCCTATGGGAACTAATGCTTCAATGTACGAACGCACCTCTACATAACAAAAAAACAGCCAGAATGGATTAATTGGTTTTCAGTCCATTCCTATGGGAAATTTTGCTTCAACTTAAGAACGTTTCAACTTAAGAACGCCATTCCAAAACCGATTAAGTTCTTAAGTAGAGGTTCCACTGTAGTTTCTATGGACGGAAAAGAGCAGATACGGATTAAATGGTTTTCAATGCATTCCTATGGGAAATGCAGATTCAACATAAGAACTTTTCAACTTGAGAACCACCTTCCAATACGGATTAAGTTCTTAAGTAGAGACCCCACTGTAGCAATATTTTGTAAACCAGTTAGAATAAACTAAGTACTGTACTTTGTTGTTTTGTAAACCAGTTAGAATAAACTAAGTACTTTGTTACAAATAAGAAAAGAGAAAGCTCTGTCCAAAGAAAGAGTGATATCATGTTCATATTCCTAGGAAACAGAGAAAGGAAAGATTTTGGGGAGTTCCCCATGTGCTCTTTTCCACACCAAATCTCATCCAATGGGTTGGAAGCATTCAGCAGGAATGAGAATTCCCTGGCTGTTTATATGTTTTGACATACAACTTCCACAGGTGCCACCCAACATGGTCCATGGAAAGTGCGGTGGTTCAGTCCATGCTAGTCAAATGTGCAAAGCTATATTTGTAAATATAATTGGTGACAGTTTTTTTTTTATGATGAATGACTGTGAGTGCCTGAATAGGCTAAGTACAAGTATGATTGGATGATGGATGATAGAATGTTAAGTGCAGTGATGAATGGTGATTGGCTGGTCTGACTGGAATGTGGCAGTTGAATGGGAGTTAGTCTGTTTGAGAAGTCTATTTTGAGAAGTCAGCTAGTAAAGGTCTGTTGCAGAATCTGGTAGAGAACAGTCAGGGAGAGGAAGAGAATTAACAACAGACTGTCTTGTGATAAAGAGTTGAAAGGAATCTGATTGAGACTGTGCTCTGTAGAGTCTTTTAAAGTAGTTATTCTAAACTTGAATACAGAAGAATATATTTACAATTTGCTTTACCCTTTATCTTATATATTGTAGAATCTACCTTTCCCTTCCTACCATTTACCTATGTTTCCTTTGTTATTACTCTTATGAGTAACTTAAACCATATTAATTGGTCTACAAATAGAAAACATTAGACCCACATCACACATGGCTATATAATACTAGTGGTAAGAGTAACGATTATAGTAGAAAGAAGAACCTTTTCATTAGCATCTGAATATAAAACATAGACCAGCTTTGAGCAAGAAAAGATGCTCAGTTTGGGGCATAGGAAAAGGGGCAATCCTAATTCCCTGGTAGATGTTTTGGGGATGGCTGGCCTTTGAGCTAAAGCCTAACCTGGTGACTAATGAGCAATGGGTAGGTTTAAGGGTAAGGTGTCAGAGAGATGCCTGCAACTACCTAGGGTGTATGTGACTTGCTTATATGAAAATTAGTAGGAAGGGATGCCTCCTTCTAGAAGAATGTCACAGTTAATAACTGTGGTAATTGTAGACCAAAAACATCTGGAGAGAAACATTCCCTACTCCTGTTCTAAAATGAGTGGGTACAACTATTCTGTCACACATTGCACTGCAAAAGAATTGTGTATGAAATATGTATAACTTATTTCAAAGTTGTTTAAGTAACAACTGCTGCACAACAAGAAGTAGACCAATGTGGAAATAGTTTAGAACAACTTTTTAAAAATGATTATGTACAGAGTACTTTTGATTTCTTTGAACTTCCAGGGATGTAGACATTTTTTGTCGTGTTCTCTGAATGACTTGAGAAAACATTTTGAAAAGAGTTGCTTTTTCCCTTTGGTGTGGTTTAACATGTATCTAAACTCATTCAAATATGAAAATATTATTATTGTCTTTGTAAACTACACAGACGTTTCTAAGGCTTTCTTAAACCAGCTGTTCTTTGCTCTTTATTGCATTCCTCAAAGCAAAACAGAATATATCAGAGTTGCCAAGACTGCCTGCTGAGCAGTGATAACAGATTAGATTAAAACTTTGGCTCCTTAGAGAGGCCCCCAGGAAGGGCTGTTTTTTTTTTTTTAAAAAAAAAAAACCCTAAATAAATAACATTTTTAATTCGTCTATATGAAAAATCTATTCTTTTAAACTTTAGCACTATCTCTCTCTCTCTCTCTTGCAAAAGTCATTGTTCTTGGGGGAAATGTTCTTTCAAGCTGTGAAAAGAATAAGATGCTAAAGGAAATGGGGTAGTGGGGGGGAAGAGAGGGAGAGAGAGAGAGAGGGAGGGAGATCTGAGCTGCACAGGAGCTGGAGTCGAAAGAGCCTCGCTGCCCAGATCAACATATGTGGTGACGAATGACAAATTTATTTTCCTACAGAGTTTGTGTATATGTAAAACTGCTGAAGTGCATCAAGATGTCAAGTGCTTTTTGTGACCACCCAGGTTGCCTTGAAAGATAACCAGATGAAAACATAACTTTAAGCACTAGACAGAGCACTGGGTTTAGGAGGAAGCAGCTTACATGCTGTAGCATCAGCTACAACAGTGGTTCTTAACCTTTATTACTCGGATGTTTTTGAACTGCAACTCCCAGAAACCCCAACCAGCACAGTTGGTGGTGAAGGCTTCTGGGAGTTGCAGTCCAAAACTCCTGAGTAACCCAAGGTTAAGAACCAGTGAGCTACAAGAGGATTTGTCTTGCATCAGTATGCTAATAGTCATTCTCAAGACTCATTCTGAAAATGGGCAATTCTGACAAAATAAAAAAACAGCAAAACAAACAAACAAACAAAAACTATACACCATGCCCAACCAAATTAATTAATTTGGTTGACAGATTGACCACTGACACAAGTGTTAATGATTCCTTAAAGAGTTAGGGTTAGATTTGGTTCTTACTTCTAGGAACAAGAAGCCAATGGCTATACTAGAGAACTGTGACTTTTAGAAAGACATACACTCCGCACCCACTTTTAAAACTGCCACCATTCTAAAAGTCAAACATTGGTTTTATTTATTCATTTATGTAAATGTTTAAAAGCTGACACTCTGGACCAGTCCCAGTGATGATGACAAAGACAAGAGAAGTGGAAAAAATTAAATATATAAATATTTGTAAGCACAAATATAAAAATGCCAGCCTGAAAAGGTGGAACCA